AATACCTATTCTAATCCAAGGGGGCAATCCCACATGCATACAGCTGTCAGTGCTCTTCTTGTAAGGTGGAACACGTGAACGAATGTTGTAAGAGGGTTTAATTTAACAACATAAATATTTACTGACAGATTAAAATTAATATTCACGGACACAAAGGTATAACATATACGATTAATATATAAAAAACAATTTAATTAGAGTGAGCGAGTTGTATTCAGAGATCATTGCTGAAAGTATTTCAAAACAAGATACCCGTCAAAACGAGAACAGGCAACTTTTCTGTACATGAGAGCCAGCTTTCTCTTTCTTTTCCTGAAGTTTCGTTCAATGTTCAAGTATTTATACTCTCATTTTGAAGATGCACACGCTCTTCTGAAATAATGGTCCAACGATTGGTCAATAACCAAGTCCGCCGACTGTTACTGTGTCAACAACATTAATGACGTGACCAACTCCCTTACAATACAAAAGCATTCTTTGGATTTGCCTCTACGTGAAATTGACAGGTCAACCGATCTGCCGCCCTCGTACCTACAAGAGAAGCAGGCGGAGTTATCTCCCTTAACTTGTCGATATCAGGTTTTTTATCATGCGTTGTTTACTGTTATTGCCAAGCGACGTAAACATCGTCTTATGCCGCAAACAGAAGACACGCCTCTTTACAAAGGATTTGTTTGGGCTAAGTAACACTCACAGACGTACAGAATGTACGAGTGATAGGGTTAACGGCTGAAAGAGAAAATATTTTTTGTATCATCCATACCATCTTAATTGCAAACCAAGCAAGTGTGTCAAAGTAGCGATTTTTTGTTGTGAACTCGCACGCAGTAATGTTGCAGCTATATATGACGGCGGTCTCTCAAAGTAATCGACGAGACATATCCGTGATTGATATTAGGAGTTTCATTGCATGCTACAGCGATCAACAAAGTAATCAAACCTGACCACCCGATACTCGCATTTGCCTCCCACAAGCCTAGGTTGCTAGGGACCACGATTCCCCTACGGAGTCACCAATGTGTGACCTCATTTCACACTCTCTGGAATATTCAGACGCCCCTACCCGATTAACTGAGGCGCAAAGGGAACTTGTTTTATCGTGTTGGTTTTCAAGCTTGTAGCAAAATACCTACATTTTTACGGCTGTGGACACTAGAAAGGAGCCTCACACATTGTACCAAAAACAAAAACTTTAAATATGTTAAAATAACCATAAGCCACGATTATGCATGTGCAGCAATACAATTGTAGTTTAATGCAGGTGCTAACTACTATTCCAGCTTTGAACATAAATACCATGATCCCTCAACATCCCAAGCGGTCGGGGTCAGCCACTGAAGTCACATTATGTTCCACCATTTTTTTTCTCTCGGACTAACTTGGGATATAGGACCACGGTTTGATCCAAAAGGTGAAAAAAGGGTGTTATAGGTTGCATTGTTTATTCACTCGTGGTTCGTCTTTATATTGAAGAAAAACATCCAAACCAGAATGCGCAAAAGGCATTCAAATTAACAATGATTAAAAAGGTTTAATAATTTAAAATGCGTTTTGGTTTTGTCTCTAGTGAAGATTCTGAATCAATGCCATTGATGACAATGGGATATGAGCAAGCTAAAATGTTAACAATCTAAATATTTCATTTACTGTTGAAAATGTATTGCCATTTGAGAGGGAAACATTATCTAAGGAAATATTGACCAGTCTGGCCAGGCCAATAAGGACACATATTCCATATCATGATAATTAATAAATTTATATGATCAGAATTCTTTTTTCTCTTTGAGTATTGATAAAGACCACAGAAAATGCCTGGTTCACAGAGATAAGAACAGACTTCCTCTTCAAAACACTTTAGTCATTGCAGAGTTACGCCCCTTTAACTGTGGAAGTTAACTATGGAAAAAATAGTCCCTGAAATAAAGCTAAAAATAATAATTTCATAAAGAAACCCTCAAATCTCCTTATTGAAGATGTGAAAGGGGGTTGAGAATTGTTGACCATTAGCCTGAAGATTGGAATGGTATTTTAATGACTTGAGAAAACTTGATTTCACAGAGTAATGTTTTCATTTATGGTTATTGTGTTTGTGAGTGTATGTCCACCAAAAAAACCCAAAAACATGCGTGCCTTAGTTTTAGTTCATCTGGACTTATAGTACTACGGTATTGGAATCGGTCCCCAGCAACCTAATCTGGTTGCACAAGGCATCTTGATTGATTAATGCGAGATGGCATGAGACTGCTATAATATATACCAAAGGTTTGTCTGGTCTGTCATTACAGATCACAAGTTTGCTGGAACAATGCTGAATGTGGTGTTCACAAATACTACTAGCCTGTGTGAACCCGTGATGATCCAGTTAGGTCTTAAGGAACCAATGGAACCAATGCTTATTGCAGGAAGCCACAAACGGGATGGGGTGGTCAATCTCACTGACTTGGTTGATGAACGTCATCGTATCCCAATTTCTTGGATCGATGTTCATATCAATCACTGGATTATCTGGTCCAGTCTCGATTGCTGAGTGTGGCATTAAACAATAAAAACAAAGAAAAGACCGTACGATTTAAGGAACTTCAGTGTACATTTTGTGTACACTGACCTGTGCACTCTTTATCATTGCTAAATCATGTTTCTAATGCTATTTTTTTCATGGACAGTGACAGACCTATCCATATGTTAAAGATTACGCAAAAGAGAAATCTTGGTTCTCAGGCACTCCCGCATCGTCACAGTCCACCGCATGTTTCGATTTCCGTTTAAAAATATAAAAATCTTTAAATATTCCTCTAACACATGACCCAAGCAGTGAAATGCTACAATACTTAACACTGCAATCCAATATAGCGTGCAGTTTCAATATTTGTTTGTGTTCTTGTTTTGTCATTTGCAAATTTGGTCAATGTTAACATGAGATTTATGATATAATGTCACCAGACATGATGATATACAAATTCAGCGATATTTGTGTACTGCATGCCGGGACAATGTTATATACGCAGAGATTAAGATCACATGTGCATTTCTCTCCTAAAATAAGCCTGATATAGCAATCAGCATCTTCCCGAGGCAAGTGAGTTAACTAACTATAAAAGTCCAGTTTCCACCCTTGCCGAACTAGGCTGGTATTATGGAGTTATTTTGGCTGGACTGAGTCTATGAATAGTCCAATCAAAATCGCGCACTGAAATCGAAATCCGGTTCGTAAAGTGTCATGCAGATTTCAGGCGACTGCAGGATTTGCAAAGCATGTGCACCGCTAACTTGTTGTCAACAGATACTTTCTAAATCTGTTCATGCTTTTAATCAAGGTGCTCACGAGATTTGATGCACTTCGCGATGTTGGTTGGTTGGTTGGTTGTTTAACGCCGCACTCAGCAATATTCCAGCTATATGACGGCGGTCTGTAAATAATCGAGTCTGGACCAGACAATCCAGTGATTGACATCATGAGCATCGATCCACGCAATTGGGATCGATGACATGCATCAACCAAGTCAGCGAGCCTGACCACCCGATCCCGTTAGTCGCCTTTTACGACAAGCATAGTCACCTTTTACGGCAAGCATGGGTTGCTGAAGACCTATTCTACCATGGATCTTCACGGGGCGACTTCGTGATGTACGACTCGTTTTATCACAATATAGATCTTGATTATCAATCAGATCGTCTTGACTGGGCGCCACCGTTTTGTTTGAAGCAAATGCAAGTGATAGGAGAGGTTGAATCTGATTGGTCAATAGGAGAGGCATAGAAAGGACATAACTCGTAATAGCCACTGGTGGCGCTACGATCGAGCCCGGGAATTCCAGCCTAGTTCGGCAAGGGTGGAAACTGGACTTTTAAAGTCAGTTGACTCCCTTGCCTCGGGAAGATGAGCAATCAGCTGTTCACACATTTTCTCCCTGATCTATGGGTGATATTTAGTTTTAAAAATACCTAATGTCATAACCAATATCATAACTGAAAATAAAATAATGATAGGAAGACCAAAGACTTTGTATCTCTACTGACTAATGTTCGTTTCAAGGCTAGTTCATGGTGAGTTGATGTGATTTGCCAATCAGTTAACACATGATTTCGTCGAAATGAATGTAAACATAATTGAATAAGATCTTGGATAAAAGCAATAACGCATAGTGGAACTTCAAACTTAAGTCCAGGTACATTGGATAAAAACAATAACGCATAGTGGAACTGCAAACTTAAGTCCAGGTACACAATGAACACTTTTATAGCCAGAGTGTAACAACAGGACTAACTTGCATACCTCAATACGGATTTGTTGACATGCTACTTCCTCTGTTGTGTGCTCACGACGTCTTCATGTTGTGAATTAAAATCTAAGTTCACTTGGTGCATGTATTACGCACACACTGGTAGTCAAATGTACTGTACTGTATTCAAATATTTTACATAAAAAATACATTTATATAGAGAGGCCGTTGATTGAACACAACTGTTTATTTGGTTAAAACAAGAGTCATCAGAAAGATGACATATCCCCCCGGCAGCTGTCTGTAAAGTAACCACTAGTAAATGTGCATTTCTGTATGTAATGAGTCAACAGTTGAATGTTCTTTAAGAAGCATACATTGTTTACCCACTGAATGGTTTTCGAATTCTGGCCCGGAAACGAACCCATTCCCCAATTGAGTCTAGGTCCAACCTCATTCCATAAAAATTTAAAAAAACAAAAATTAGAAAAATCCCAAAATATAAAAAGGCACCACTTCAGTATGTGCCTGATAGCTTTGCCAAGTTTCGATCAAATACACTGAATGGTTTTGGAATTCTGCCCCGGAAAAGGAAATGATTACGGACGGACGGACAGACTGATCGCTATATCCCCCCGCATTATACTTTTCATATACCTGTACAAAAAATAACTGAATAAGATTTGACAGGATTTGAGTAGCATGTTAACAAAAACCTTAAAGAGACATGCAACCTGGATGTCACTGCATTCAAAATCTATAAAATAACAAAGATTCAAGTCATTATAAAAATCTTTATTATTGATGACAAAGTTATACAATTGAGTGATCTATTAAAAAGGCATAGAGTTGTAAACTGGCATAGGGCTTTTGATGTTCAAACATGAATGACCATTTCACTGCAGGAATAAGTCTTGACAATGGCTGAGCTCTCCTTTCTATGATATACACAAGCTTCAGGTGGACTTGCCACAAACATGGTTCTTGCTTGAGAAAATGTCACTTAACCTGGCTTCATGTCTGCTGCCCAAAGTTAGTCATACCAGCAGAGGTGGTAGGTAACAGAACAGAAGTTGTCGACTAGAAGTAAATACATGGTTACCTAAAAAACAGGGTTAATACTAGCATCACAAGGCGAGTTAAAACAAATGAGTGTTCACAATGGCAACATTGGTCTGGTGAGAAGGCCTAGAAACCGTGCACCTGAAAGTAAACAATGACAAAGTAAAAATTTGATTTAGAAGAATCCAAGGTGTACAAAAAACAGCGGAACTTCAAAATATGCATATTCAAAAGCTATTTAAGTATCTTACATATTTCAAAAGCATAAACCCTGCATATAACATGGTTCATATAAACAATGAGCCAATACATTTAAGAACCTTTCAAGCATAAAAGTAAGACAAAGGTGGTTTCAAACAGATTTACCAGGTTATTTCTACACTCATGTGTCAATGCTTTGATCTGTATATCCAAATTACCAGACCATCAAAAGGTTCAAGTACAAAGTTGTTTCAAAAGTAATTATTGGTCAGAATGACTGAATTGAAATTATGTGTGAACCATGTATTTGTGATACAATATATAACATCTGTGTCAAGCATACCTTGACCTGATCTTGAGTGGCAAGACCCCACTTGCACAGCAGGCTCTTGATGTTTTCTCTCTGGTCACCCTGTAGCTGCACAACCTCACCGTACTCTGGGTGCTCCACTACTGTGCCGTTACAGGCAAATTCCTGCACACAAAACCATGACAATAAGATATGGATCATAACCATCTCCAAGCAAGATTCAAAACTTGTTAAAATATTAGTTTAAAAAGTTACTTTTCCCGGTCAAAGAAGCAGCTAGCCTTGAACAAGTTGGGAGCGCTACCTCAACTGTCGTATTTGATATGCAGGCTTTGATAAAATCTCTGAAGATTTCAAAATCAAAGCCTCCTTGCTAGTCAAGACAGTAAACATGATGGCAAAAAGTACTTTTTTGGACTGCTTCATAATAATGAGTACTGGCCTGTTTTTCATATTGTAATTTATTGCAAAAATTATTCATGATTTTGATACATACCACAATATATATTGCATAAATTGTTTTCATCTGTAATTTGTTATGAACATGAATAAAAATAAAGTTTTCCCATAGATTTGACAATTTCATAATTGTCTGCCATTTTGTTACATGTTTCTATGGTCACAATGCATGCATCAGACATTCAAAACAGGAAACTGGAAGTGAACAGTTTTGCTTCTTGTATCACAGGAATGAGTGTCATTCAATTACATATTACTACCTTATATCAGTGTTCGAAATACTTGCCAGCCCGACCGTCCGAGAACTCGGGCTGCCAGATTTTCAAATCCCCCTGTCCGATGGTTGGGTTATATTTCATATGTGAAAATATTCTAAATATTTCCCGATGATATGCATTAATTCACATGTAAAGATGAATGATAAAATGTAACTAAAAAAAACCCCCGTTAGCTTATCCTGAGAAACATATGATTATAGTGGGCAGGCAGGTTTTGGTCAGGGCTGGCAAGTATTTCAGCTAGCCAGTCCTGTGGTCTGGCTGAAATTTTTGGGGGTTTCATACCCTGCTTATATTGTGGTGTTCCAGTAATAATGCGCACCTCTCTTAATTAGGAGCTTTTAAACTCCTCTTCTCATTGTTATACAATATTAGATGCGTAATATTATAGCCTTATAAACTTGTTTGGAGACACCTAAAAAACAGTTCCACTGTCCAATAGCACATGCACAAACAAATGACATCCTTGTAGATAATTTTCACACCTTTTTACAGGCTTTGACAATTTTCTTGAAGTCGTACTGAGGATTGATGCCCTGGACAGTTGTAAGAGTCTTCCGGCCGTTACGTTGTTGTATTCGGATGTGGATCAGGGCATCTTTCGCCTGGTTACCAAATTTAGCATCATCGAATTCAGAAGCTAAAGGAGCTGAAATTCAAAATAAAACCAGTTAAAATAAACATTTTGAAATAGATAATATTCTCCATATGCATACCTAAAGATGTAAACCTATCTCACTTGAGTTAGGTTTTATGCCGCTTTAAGCAATATTCCAGCAATATCACGGAAGGGGACACCAGAAATGGGCTTCACACATTGTACCCATGTGGGTAGGGGTGACTATTGAGGCATTTTTGACTATTGCAATACTATTACGATAGTTAAAACAACTATTGTGATACTATTGTGATAGTGGCCCTACTATTGCAATACTATTGCGATAGTTTTCACTTGCAATTATAGCAGGCTTTAGCAGCATATATTTCAGCATTTTGAATGACACCATCAAACTAATTATAACTTTCTGATACAATACAAAATTTCACTTCATGTAACTGGTAAAGTCTTAGGTTACTGCAGTGTTTTAGCACCAATGTGAATGAATGTGATAGAATGACTAGTATTTGATCCCCCTTTTTCATGTGGACGAATATCTGGGTGCCGTCTTGTCAAGTGGTCGGTCAGATTAGTAGTATTTCCTGAATACTTTAGAATTATCCGACAGATTCTACAACTTACATTTTGCTTGGCTGTTTTGTTTTGCGTTTTGACAAAGCCAAAATGGTCCAATACCCACGATTTGCCTGCCTTATTGGCGACAATTTCGAACTGACATGTGGCGTCCGCCAACTTGTCAATGTTGCCTAGCGACGAGTAGCTAAGGGACGTAACTCTAAATCAAGCAGACAAAGTAGTGCAATCCAAACGAAAGCACGACAGAGGTTAGATGATCATAGGAGTTGTTTCTATGTTTTTTAAGAAAGTAAATGTACCAAACAAATGAACTATCGAAACTATCGATAGTTAGACAAACTATCGCCAATAGTATTGATTGTTTCAAGTTGCAATCGATAGTGTACTATCGTGAGACAAGCAATCGCAATCAATCGATAGTTCGATGTATCGTTACACCACTACATGTCGGTAAATCAAACCCAGGTCTTTGACGTGACGAGCGAACGCTTTAACCACTAGGCTACCTATCTCACTTGACACTATGGCTTTCATCAAAGCATTTAAATGACTGTTGGTTTGTAGCGTTGACATGTGATCGCCCTATTGAACACACACCAGTCCTTAATTTATCAAGATGTTTTCCGATTTTGCCTGCGACAAGCAGAGTGCATAAAACACTACTACCAGCCTAATTCAGTGTTGTCTGATGTTAAAGGTATACCAAGGGCTAGGAGAATTATCAGCATTTCAAGGGGATGTAGGTCAGGTCGTTTCAGGTCGACTGCTTCTCTTGACAAGTATTTTCCCCGAAACAAATGTGTGCTCAATCAAAAACTACACTGAATACTCTAAATGAGTAAATCTTTAAATTAACTCCAACGTGGAGAGAGGACAGAAGAGAGGGGTCGCATTAATGAGTTGTATTTTTGGGCTAGGGGTCAGCAGTCATTAATTTGGACATGCATTCCAAATTTACAATACTTGAACTCAATCAGCTCTCAAATTCTTACCGGGAAGAGAAATCTTTTTTTGTGTGAAAATACTTGTAGGCTTCTAACAATTCCAATAGTTAAAACAAAAGCCATCATGTATCCACAATGGTCTCAATCTATTTAGGGAAAATACCAAAATATCATCCAGTTATCAAACTGAGGCTTCAGGAATTACAATGTTGACCTGAGGGTGAGCGAGTTGGTTTCAAAGCCACTTTGAACAGCTAACAGTGCGAGGAAAGACGAGACAAGTTATGCAGGTGTCAGATATTTACCACCTAATCAGGGAGGACCAGGATTTGAACCCACAATCATGTTTCTGTCGAACCCAAGCATTCCAACATAATGATTGCCAGATTTCATCAGCATTTGTTTTTTTGGGTATTTTACCTATGGGTTTTATTTAATTGGTCATCCACAATTTTTAGTGGGAATGCAGTTTTTTTCACAACCTGCTTCTTCATATTTAAGTATTTTACCATGAAAACCTCTTTTTAACAGTTAATCCCTGCAAATCTTTGTTAGGGATCTTTGTTTGCATCTGCTTGCACTGACCTCTCTGGGAAGCCATTTGGACTATCTTAGAAGCACCAATTAGCAACTGTTTAAAATACACTGACTAGGCACAATTCATTTTCAACTGGAATCTATCGGTATTCAAATGTCGCTCAGGTTTTGCTCATTGTAACTCAAATTAATTTTTGTGATTTGCTGACATGCAATAGTTTCATCTGGTAGATGTAATGTCACATTAGATTTATTTCAATAGAGTATTAATAGTTTTTGTTGCTTATTTGACACATGAGATCTAATTTGTCTGCACATTTATGGTTATTTAATGTTATTTATGTTAATATTGCAGCTTATTTAGAGCTCTGGATTGATGTAGAGATACTGTAAGATCAGTGATTTTAGTTGAAGAAAATTACCTTAAATAAGAGTCAGTTTCAAGATTATTGAATCTGGGGGTGACAGCTCACGCTGGCAAAACACTGTATATCATTTTGTGGTAGAGCTGTGCTAAACGATTTGTGATGTTCTGCCATCCTGACTCCCCAACTTATCGACCATTTTGGTGTATACTGTTAGCATTGTGCGAATGGGCTAAGGGGAGTAACTCTGATTACCGGAAGAGTATTTACCGGAAGTGTATCGAATGTAAATAGAAGTTAGATGAACGAATGGATTCGGAAGTTGCTAAGAGATAGATCGTAGGGTAAGTAATAGAATATGTGAGGTAATATTGCTAGGATATTGATGTATGGTTGTCAAGGGAGTAACGGATGTATCACAGTTAGTTTTGAGTATGAATTGAAATAAACAAGACGTGTTCTTATACTCGCTTGTTGTGTGCTGTTTACAATAGACATGTTCATATGAGGTATCCACAGCCCTTGTTGGATGTATATAAGTGGATCCCCTCAACAGGTGATGGTGAGGTCTAACCATGGAAACCATGTCTCCAGAATAACGAAAGCTGGCATGTGTTACATTATACACACTGCATACCATAATACCTACTACAGGAGAAGGCTTCAAAACTGACAAACCAGTGATTGATATGAGCATCGATCTACGAAATTGGGATATGATGACATGCATCAATCAGGTGAGCAAGCCTGGCCACCCGATCCCGTTAGTCGCCTCTTACGACAAGCATGGGTTGCTGAAGACCTATTCTTACCCAGGTCTTCATGTATAGGTTTCGAAAATGAGGTATAGAAATTTAAATATTTGATTGAAAACTGAAATTGGTACTAAACTTTGAAGAAAAATGAGCAACTCCTAGCTTAACCTATCAACAAGTTAAACTAGACATAATATAAGTGATATACTCTCAATAAAACTACACAATACAAACTCATGTCAGTAGTGGCCGATATATGAATATAGAATTTTGCCTTACAGCAAATAGTTCACATTTGCTGTTGGGAGTGGATTCCAAATGAAACAGCTTAAAATGACTAAACCCATACAATCTTCTCAACATTATCTTAATTTCAAAACGCCAGGACAAAAAGCTCAGGCACATCCTTAGCATGATTAAGATAAACAAAATGGCCCACTCTGCACTTCATATAATTGAGAATATGAAGCTCAAAAGGAAAGATCTGTCTAATGTAGAATGAACATACATACTGTGTTCAGATTAAGTATCAATGTTTCACTGCAACTTCAACTGAAGTAAGATGTTAATGTTAACCACATCCCACAGCTGATTTACTCAATTTAGCAGTGCAACTATCACTCAGGTGGAAAGAAGGCCACTCTGTACTGGACAGATTTCAGACTAGAAATTGTAAGGTAGCAATGTGTTAATATAAGCATCATAAGATTTTTATGAGGTATGCAAGGTCAGGAAGTTTGGTCCAAAGTACTTAATTTTCACAACCTTGAATTACATTTTCATAATTATACAGAATATCGAAAGACAAAATTAATGTCAGTCAGGTTGGCCTCTTGCCTACGCAGCAATTCCCATAATTCTGTGTAGAAATTCAATCTGGCCTGTTTTTGCACTTACATGAAGAAAGACACAAATAGTAACATACAATATGATACATTCATTATGTTTGTACTTTTGAAAAATAATTAACAGTAATCTTGACTTAGAAAGGGAAAATGTTTTAAAAAATCATGCAAAACAGTAGGGTAATTTCAACTGGTAACTGCAAACTTCATGCTGAATTTTGTTAAAAACTTATATTAATAGAATCGCAAATGCTTAAGGAACACTATAAAGTAAAACAAATTTTTTTTCAATTATTTTCGCCAACTTCCATAGTCATTCTTGCTTAATTTCTAACAGTGACTATGCATGTAGAGAACCATGTAGAAGGCACTGTGAAATGGCAAATATCCTCTGTACATTGTGATTGTGTATTAAACTCCCATCATCCCCCTCCATTAACATCTCCAGGACATACTCTAAATATCTTGATTCATTTGGTTTATGAAAATTCCAACTCTTCAGTAAAAACTTTAAACTGGCAAAAGATGTACAATATTCTAGAGCATTTACTTATTCTTGGACATTTACTTAAACGAAGTCCTTGAGCATATCACACATGTAGTATGTACATCTGTACTAGAGCTTTTCCCAATTTGTCAGTGCAAATTTCCAAGAAATCTAAAGAATTAGTAATGAAGTTGACAGTGATGTGATTTCTATAACCGATAGTTGACTTCTTGAGAATAGATTACAATTTATGGCCAATCAGATATAGCAAATAGTATGATAAATCCAAAAGTTTGATTCATGCTAGTGACAAAAGGAACAGCTGACAAAACCATAACCACTTTTTATGAAGCAAACACAGCTCAAGAATAGTTTAGCACACTGAATTTATTTCCATTACATTGGATTTCCTCAGGAAATAATCGCTATAAGATAGCAAACCCTAACCTAAGGAGTCAAAGTACAGAGCATTTCAGATCCGTACCTTTTCTCAAACACTGACAGTCATCCAAAATGTCCTGAAGACCTTTTACAATTTCATAATGATAATGTCCTTTTAAAAGTTCATGAAATCATGAAAAGGTCCAATTTGTCAATTGTCTCCAAAAAAACAACTAAGGTCCATACAATGCAAAACACTTTATTCTATAATTTTATTTGTATTTAAACTTTCCATGGGATATATATTTGTATACCCTACATTGTACCTTTGTGGATCCCGACAACACATGCTTTAGTTTGACCTTGTTGGCACTGGTACAACAGGTATGTATGCACCCTGGGCATGTGTCTGTATACAGAAATGTACCCTAGCCAAAATCAGAATACAGATGAGTCCCTTCTGTCACAGGCCGCATTGTACTTAACAGTTCCTTGAATGCTTACTCTTACAACACATCCTGGAGGGTGTTAAATCGTGGTAAAATTCAACACAACACACGTTATGTATTTTTCTCTTGGTTTTTCCTTTCCATAAAAGGACAGGAACTGTCTTACTAATGTAAAAGAAGCATTCAAGTGTGCTTTATAAAAACAGAGTGACTTACATACATTACTCTAATAGTCTGCGATGCACAGCATTATCCAGCTCTTATGTGTATTGTACTTGAACTGCTTTCATAATATGGACTCGTCCAATCCTTAGGGTACCTTTCTGCATTCTGATTGTGGCTGGGGTACGCTATATTTTCACTGTGGATCATTTTTAATGGATCGTAATGGTGAACACTTACTAACACATTAAGTATGTCATACACAAATGTTTCTTGTTCTTGATTCAACCTTTAGGACATCAATTAGGATCTATTGATGCTGATTTTCTTAACCTAGTTAGGTAAACAAAGTACCCGTCATTGGTGACTCAAGGACGGGCAACTCTGTATTATTGCGGTATCAATTTTGTGTGTGATATGTGTGGATTATGTTTTTTACATCACTTCCTCTTTTGGATTATGCATTATCACTATTCATACGAAGGTCGGGTCAAAGGACATTGTCCAAACAAGTGGATACTTTTCTAACCAATTTAGAAGGGAGGCAGTGGTAATTCTACTTCAAAAACATTCCAGAAACTATCGTAAACAAGTCTACAGAGCTCCAGATAAGCTTTTGGTGTTGTGGGTATTTTACGCATGCATTTTAAAATCATTGGGTATCAGTAATTCTATCTGCGTATTCAAATTTCTGTTACCCACTAGTTTTTACACATGTGGGTATTTAAGTTAAATATTTAAAAACACTGTTCATCTAGTCCCTGCAAACTGGTGTCGTGTGGGTTCGAGAGCTTTATAGGACTAAAAAATACCACGATACTTCCACAAGAAAGTGTAATGGCAAATGATCATGATGTGACTCTCATCGTGGAGTTTGGCAAGGTTGACGGAATGCCCGTTTATAATTTCAAGATAAGTTGCTGATTTGCTAATCGAATACGCAGGGTTACTTCACAATATTTTGATGATACACACAAGTTTTATTTTTGTAGCGTATCTGTAATTTTCGTTGCGTATTTGATACGCTTGGATTATATTTTACTGCGTATTTCTGCATTTCTGATGCATATTTCACGCAGATACGCAGCTTATCTGGAGCTCTGAGTCTATGTGTATCTTTTGCCATGATGTAGCAAACCAATCCTATATTCGATGACGTGATAAAATATTGTTCTTAGTTTTGCAAAAGTGAACATTTGATGTAGATTATGAGATTTACCGATACCACAATAATATAGAGTCACACTATACATATGCTGTACAGATCTGTAGTGCCCGTGCCGACAACTACCCAGCTTTAGTTTGTTGGGGGGGGCATAGTTTCATCATGAGTCGCCCATGTCTTAGTTCCATGTCGTCCAAGGCAGAGATTCATGTACATGTAGGGACGGGACTACATGTCAGTTAATGCATAGTGCCTCAAGATTTAAAGTGAATAACTAAAAGCCTTCATGACCTTATAAACACTCTCCTCTCAACCGACGCAATACATTTCTTCACGCAGTAAAGATGCAGATTGAAATAGTTAAAGGTTATCGAATTGATTATCAGTCTTAAAATTAACTAAACTGTTGTGTAAGCTCAAATACAAAGAGAATACACACGTGTTACTGTGTTGAAATTCAGAGTATGCCAACTTCACTTCCTACATTTCACAACACAAAACGACGCCATTTTGAATCGCAAAGATTGAGAAAACGCTTCCTTTAGTTTATCTTCAGTCTTTCCAATGTAACTTACCGAATCCTTCCTTCAAGTTCAAGAGTTCACCGCTCATTCAAGCTAATATATGTGTTCCACCCGACAAAAAATGGGTAACTAGTTAGTTGCTGAGAGTGTGAGGCGGCTGCCGAAACGTGTGTTACAAATCCACAAGTATGAAACAGAGTGACTACGCATGTGCTGTGACGTCACTCAACTAGTTTTCAAAACTTTTATTCACACTATATTAATTACAAATTTGTGAAATATTTACAAGAATGACCATGATATGATGGGTATTGTATTGACTACCCCAATGTTTATGGTTATGAGCAATACAATATGAAATGAATCTACACTACGGTGTTGTTAGAGAGTACATGTTTAGACTGGTCCCAACCTTGTTTATTTTTAGATTAAGGCGAGAACATTGTTGTAAAACTGGTCGCTTGCCTCTGTCGCGCCTATTCATATTGATGACGTCTCTGTTTTTTAAGAAAAAAACAAATAAATTACACAGCATACAATTACAGTGAAATGGTTGTGAAATGTTAATCGCCTTAAAACATGCTTACATTAGAAATTAGCCTCTATTCCAATGGATCGGAAGGCGCAACTAAACCTGTTGTGAAAACATCACATGCTTACCCTTACTGAAATTAACTCACCGTCAAGCTGAAACTGAGTCTGACAGAAATGTCAAGAAACTGGACTACAGGTATACTATATATTTAATATTTATTAGGAAACAAATAGTAATTTTATAAATTTTCTGCCGGCAGCCGACATCACAAGAATGTTTCTGCGGATAACAGAAGGTGTCCCCGTCCAAGGAAAACATATATGCTACAAAACAACATAATACAGCATGTAAATAAAGCATATATACTACTACTACTTCTATGCTACATAAATCGGGTGCCGTTTTCGCCTGACAATTAGCAGCCGTTTTTGCCCAATGAGGTGCCGTTTTCGCCCGATAAATCGGTGACATTTTGCTTAGGTGCCGTTTTAGCCTGCACCCGTGGGAATGTATAGCAAGTCAAGAATGTGATGTATGTTCTGAGCATACCTGCTCATGATTACAAGGATACTGGACACACACATATAATGAAAAGATGTCGACAATCTATATTGTATGACAATCTGTGTACATCATAATGAAAATACATAGGCAACATGTAATGATCATTAATATGCATATAATATGTCAATTTTGTACTACTGTAAACAAAATGAAAAACATGTATATGATTTACAAAGTAGAGATAATTTATGCATATAACTTCTTTATTTACTGTAAAGGCGACGTTTCGGTATAGATCCTTATACCGTTGTCAAGCGGTATAGATCCTCATACCATTCATCTTCCCGAGGCAAAGGAGTTAACTGACTATAAAAGTCCAGTTTCCACCCTTGCCGAACTAGGCTGGTGACCCGTGAAGATTCCGGGGTAGAATAGGTCTTCAGCAACCCATGCTTGCCGTAAAAGGTGACTATGCTTGTCGTAAAAGGCGACTAACGGGATCGGGTGGTCAGGCTCGCTGACTTGGTTGATACATGTCATCGATCCCAATTGCGTGGATCGATGTTCATGCTGTCAATCACTGGATTGTCTGGTCCAGACTCGATTATTTACAGACCGCCGTCATATAGCTGAAATATTGCTGAGTGCGGCGTTAAACAACAAACAAACAAACTAGGCTGATATTATGGAGTTATGCATAGTCCAATCAAAATCGCGCACCGAAATCGAAATCCGGTTCGTGAACTGTCGTGCAGATTTCGATCGATGGCAGGATTTGCAAAGCATGTGCATGGCCAATTCGTTGTCAGCAGATATTTTCCAAATCCTTTCATGTTTTTAATCAAGGTGCTCAGGTGATTTGATGCATTTCGCGATGTAAGACCCGTTTTATCACAATATAGATCTTGATTATGGATCAGATCGTCCTGACTGGGCGCCACCATTTTGTGTGAAGCAAACGCAAATGATACGAGAGTTGGAATCTCATTGGTCCATAGGAGGGGCTTAGAAGGGACATAACTGGTAATAGCCACTGGTGGCGCAACGATAGAGTCCAGTAATTCCAGCCTAGTTCGGCAAGGGTGGAAACTGGACTTTTAAAGTCAGTTGACTCCCTTGCCTCGGGAAGATGCATACCATTGTGATTGTTTGACAACGGTATAAGGATCTACACCGAAACGTCGCCATAATCGAGTCTGGGCCAGACACTCCAGTGATTAATATCATGAGCATCGATACACGCATTTGGGATCGATGACATGCATCAACCAAGTCAGCGAGCTTGACCACCCGATCCTGTTAGTCGCCTCTTACGACAAGCATAGTCGGATATATATTTATATGTCTGTGCTTAGAGTGATGATAGATGGACATGTTCGGGGTCATATGAGGATTAAAGAGAATGTGTATTTTAAATCAGGAATGTGATGACGTGGATTGATCTGGTGATTGAGTGCGGCCCAGTAATTCAAATAAAAGCCAATGTGTTTTGTGGATAGTAAATATCTACATGTATATGTATCTACATGTATTTCTATTTCCAAAGCCAAATTGAACATATTTTGTTCTGTTAGATATGTACATCAGTTTCTAGGTCGAGCAATACTTTTTTAAAGTTAATTCAAATTCCCAGAAAACATGATTTGCAGTTTCATTTACCTCATTTTCATAATAACAAAATAAACAAATAGTGTTACCTAGCAACTTCATTTCGTATAATCAGCTCTATGTAGAAAGACTGCATTAGAAATCAACTACCTTAATACCTTTACTGCCTTTCCTATATCCGGCAAAGATGTTAAACCATAGGATTTCACATTCAAAGCTTAATTGCCACAATCAAATTATTAGATGATTGCAACTATTAACGTCTTGATCATGAGTCTTTACAGGTCTTTTATCTGTATTAGTAACTAGCCATTTTGGGGGGATATTGTAAAGTACTAGTATATATCTAAAATGTAACAGTGTACCTTTAATGTAAAGGATCTTTTCAAGTCACCAAATGGAATAATACCGGCATTACTACATATATCTTTCACTAAATAAATGCCGTTATACAACCCAAAGTAATTGACCTCCAACTTTTCTATTTTTGTTAGCTTTTGGTTTGCATGCGATTTGTCCTCTTTTCGTTGTTGACTCGTTGCATGAAAACATCATTGATATACACTGAAGCTTAAAAGCCAAACCTTCAGGTCTTTCCAAATTATTTTTTCTTAAATCAATAGGAACTCCATCGATCGCAGGACTTTTATTGATTTTCATATTTTTCACCGCCTTTGTAATTTTTTAAGCTCGGGTTTACTTTCTAATATATCTTATAGTTGCTTATTTATCTTTGGGAGTAATTAACTCATTAAGCTCGGCTAAGCCATCATCTAAATTTTCTGCTGTCTACATTTTCTCATAAATCGATCCAAGTTCGTTTTCTTTATAAATTTTCCATCTGAAGTTTCTGCACCCTTATCTTAGACTGCAATATTTGTAAGTTTAGGAAAGTAATTTCTATTTTCCAAACGACAAAAGTATTTATTGATAGTTTTTCACCCTCGTTATACCATTTAATTATATTTGTTATTTGTATTCCTCATATTTCTGCTTCCTTGATCTGCGTTGATTAATGTTGACCAGAACATTGCTTTTCAAACTAGGGCCCATCCCCGAAAACAAATATCAAATACAAAGTTTAATTAATACCTTTTCAGAAAATGTATCACACACATTTTAACCATATATATATATATATATATATATATATATATATATATATATATATACAATTGAGTCATGAATACAAACTTATATTAAAAACAAATGTGTGGAACATATTTTGGCATAACAATAGTATATATTCTAAATACATGTTATCTGTTCGTTGCTATTTTATATTTCCGTCTTGTTTGATTGCGCGAAAGCTATGTCTATATTTTAAACGTTAATAGCAAGTATTGTGTCTCTTGAAAATTAAAATGTTAACTGAGCTCACGTCTACTTACACCTGTAAATAGGCGGTCACGCAGTTCAAAGGCAGCACTAGTTATTGCGCAATGGATCCGTCGAGGAAACAGTCCAAACACGTGCTCGTTTGGGCGCCATCTAGCGGTCGTGTAAAATGTAACACTGAATAATTGTTTTTAATCTGCACGATGCAAGCGTTTAATTTCAAGATATCGTAGTCTGTAAATCCTACAATGTCAAAGAAAGTAAAATTGAACCATATTATTCTGATTTTATGAAATTTTATTTTAATTTATGAAACACTTTGGTACGAGGTGAGCGAGATTTCCCCTATGGCCGACGATCGTGTTTGGAAAGCGAGAACGAATATATTTACAACAAAGAGTGCGAGATATTGGCTTCGTGTAACAGTCAAGTAAGATATATACAATTTACAATGAACTATTGTCAATGCGCTAACCATTATTGTCTTTGAAGAACTAGGGCATCCGAGGAAATCGTAGAGAGCAGGGAGGCACCCAGCGATCGACGCCGACAGTCAAGCTCGGCGTGAAGAGGCGACCCATGTTCTGCAATCACCTCAGGCCCGCCTGGATGTGTCAGCTAGCGAGTCGTTGACCGAGCAAAGCCGGGACCAACAGATCGACATGGCGGATTTCTACGACCCAGCATGCCCAACAGAGTAAGTGCCAACACAACTACAATACACAGACAGTGTCTCCTGCAGCCTGTCACAACAACCGCACGTGTGCTGATGTAGATTGCGCGTCAAGTGCCGTTTACCAAAGCATTCCCAGGTGTGTACTATTTGACGTACACCCAACAATATCAAAGGTTGGATTCTTTGATACTTCCATGACTTTACCGTACATTAATCTTCAGCTCTGTTTATCATGTTTTTGTCACAAAAGTAGAGTGACAAATCACTTGTTCACTCCCCAGGAATAGTTTTGTTTTAGGTCTTCAGAAGAGGGGTGGGTGGTGGTGGTTCAGTTCCTCTTGAAGTCTTCTCATGGTTATTGGCCAACACACCATTGTTGGCATGTCCTATCACAGAAGTGAGTTAGAACAGGTCTGTGCCACCTTCAGGTACACCCATAGAAGCAAATATGTGGCTGTATTTGAATTGTATATAGTATCTCTTTATCTGATCTAATCATTTAATTTTAAGACCATTTGGTTGGTGAATATGTGGTTTTGACAGCTGTGTTAAGAATCGGTAAACAAGTGGTCAGAATTGTACAATTGCCTTGAGTCTTGAAATAATACCACGCATGACTTTGTCACAGGTGTTATTGTCAATTTATTTCCAACATACTAGTTTACCAGGGTTAGGAAAGATGTTCTTCTTTTACAACTTACAGCCTTGAAGATGGGTTTTAAAAAGATACTTAGTTAAGTATGACAAATTTGTGTGACCTTCAGCTTTTTTGAAAGAATAGACACCTTTAAATGATAGTGAACTCAAAATATTTTCTCTTTCCAGATCATTATCAAGTTTGTGATATTGGCATAGATCTATACAGGGTTAACATGTGATTGTAAAATTATTCTGAACATTTTAGGAAACATTTTTTTGTTAGAAAATAGCCTATGATCTATATGCATCACATTCAGATTCTGTTTAAAAGACTGTGGTTTTAGAAGGAACTAGGTTGGAATTTCATTCCTGATTCCATCCTTGCCTGGACATTGTGCTCTTTGTGAAATTAGACATTTTCACCATAAGATGTAAGTTAAATGATTATTGATAGATTGAAAAAATATAACAAAACTTTAAATTAGCAGAAGCTTAAAGCATATTTTAATTTATTTTCCTCATTCTTATTGATGGGATGATAGCTTTGTCAAAGCCTAGCCGTATACAGAGCTACCCCTAAAAATCCATACTCTTGGGGCAGATAACTCTATTTAGTTAATCTTTTGTAGGTTTGTGTGTGTTGTTATTTGCAGATTTTGTTGCAGATAGCAAAGAAAATTTTAAACACATAACCTTGATACTGGACATATTTCTGATTGACCTTTGGGGAATTTATATTTTTATGCCTTGTGACTAAACATTGATTGGATGGATTGCTAACGAATGTTTTGCTATTTTTCGACATTACACCCCTTAGTTGCTTGTCTTACACATCTATTTGATCTTTTTCTCCCTTAAGACAGAGACAATACTTAGCTCACCAATATGTAACCATAAATATATTATTAAAGTAACAATTGTTGAAAGGACAGGTTATCCATATAGATCATAGAGATGGATAACCATCAAGTAAATATCGTTCAGTTATCAATAAATATTGGAGAAGTAACTTTGAGCAAATATGCAAGATGGTCTGAAAGAAATCAACATGTTTTACATCACTGGTGAGTGGTGACACATTTATGCAAGGATTACTTTGTGACCATGTAACATATAACAAAAATAGCGTGTTACACATAATTCAGAAGTGGCACATGAATAATGACGTAAATTTATGTGTTTAATAGCTGAGGAAGAGTGAAACGATTCTACTTAGCTGTAATTGTTGCTGTGTTTCAAAGATAGTTATTGGTTACAGGTGAGAGTTGTGTAATATGTCATGCATTTTGCGCTGGGGCACAAATAAGGTACATTTCTGTGTAACTCGTAATTCCTGTTAATTGCAATCGTGTTGTGTGATAATCTTGGTTCTCAACTTCTCACCACTATCAAACTGAAGGACAGCACACATGGAGCTTCTAATATCTTCATGGAATATTCCTAAACAAAGAGGATCCGTATATGATATCAAGTTCGTCGATAGAAATGATATCAAACATATAAATAGGTTTATATTTTATTTTTTATGACTTCTTTTCCATATTTAAATGCCAATGTAACATTTTCCAGTTAAGACTGTGCGCAGAAACAGTGCGGAACAGAAGGCCAATGACGACCTTGTTTTAATTTCTAGCTTTTGCTCAAGGAATTTTTAACCACTTAGTATAGTAAATGGCAATTGAGGAATACTATTTTCGGTAGTTTGCTTTTACAAGCGTTTGAGTTATGAAAATAGTACATGTATAGCCAATAGTGTATTCAGTCAGTAAAACATGATCAGCAGATTGTTTTCAGTCTTTGATAATTGACAATAACAACTTTATTTCATCACAGTAGTTTCAGTAAGATATTATCAATGCCACAATTTTCATATCCATTATAGTTAATAATCCTTCCCATTGACGCTAATTCCAATCATCAATCTTTTTAGCCAGCCCAAATGTTTGACATTTTAAACTCGTATTAAAGTAATTTCAAACCAAAGCCTGAGAAGCTTTTACTCTTTCTGTTAGTATTTGAATAGGTTGACTCCTGTGATGTTGACTTTGGCAACCAAGAAACTAACATCAGCATCCTGGAAATATGAAATTAGAAGTAATGCTGTACATTTGATTGAACATACCGCACAGATTCTGGGATATGAAATAAGGAGTGGCCTTCAGGCTTTTTCAGTATATTAAAATTTAATTAGGGACCTATTAAGTATTTAATTATATTTAATAGGGTTGTGACATTGGGCTTTAACTTTCATTCACATATTTAAACACTGCAAATATTTCCAGGAATGGTTGCTCTCAGCTGGAATGGAAAGATTTACGTATTAAACCTGTTATTTGGAAGATTTTTGTTTCATCAAAAACGTTAATAGTATCAATATTTAAAAAAAAAATACACATTATGTTTGGGGGTTCATGGAATTAACCAAGTTACACAGAAGATCAATTTAGAAAATGAAAAAGCTTTTTGCAAAATAGATATATGCCTATGTGTACTCTCTTCTATTCTCTCAGTTCCTAGTTTTAAGTCAACATTTATTTTCCTCTGAAACAAAGGGTGCGCCCATTGTACAGGAAGATCTAAAAAAAGCATGTTTTTATTTTTTTTTCACTTGACGTAACAATATATTAAAAATATTCTGAAGAGGTTTTGGTAACACTGGTTTGTTAGACAGATATTACATGTATTGAACAAACTTACACAGATTCATTTTCCATGCAGATTTATTATCAGCGGGTAAAGATATCTTCTTAACATGCTTTACTAACTAACTAGCTTATTGTCATTCCTAATGGGCTTTCCATAAGACCAAAGGACAACCCCCCAAGATTAATTCATTAATTCTTACCGTGAACAATCTCCCAAGAAATCCAAAAGGCCTGTGAAGTAAAACTTGGACGGGCCCAGCAATTGGTTCATTAAAAATTAATAGATGATCATTGTATGAATCAGTCTTTTGTGTTACTGTGTTGGTATGTGCATGAACATCTGTGTTAAAAAGACAAATTTTTGTTGTCATTTTTTAGTGACACTTGAAAAGGCCTTGAATTTGGCAGTCCGGCATTAAAAGGGACCTTGAATTTGTGCACAGTTATTAACTCTGCTGTTAAATAAATATACTGCAATTATTCTTTATCTATCAGTAATGTGTGAAAACATCAAGTAGCATGACATTAGCCTGGAAGTTGATTGATAGATTATTTGAAAACACCAATGTATGGATATTTGTATCGTGTAATTAATTAGAAGGACAATTGGAACTATTCTGGCAGCAATGAAATAAATTTGTTTTAAGCTTACTGAGGTCCACTGTTAGCTTTGAAAAAGCCGTAAACAGGCATCTGAAATTTTGTAATTCCATTTTGCTTCTTCACCCAGTTATCAGGACTCCTCAAATAGAAGTTATTAGACAAATGTCTGTGAGGTTGATCAAGATAAGCGATTGTATGATTTCTCTGTGTGAGCTGGAATGTTACTATAGTCAGCCCAGGATTATCTCACAACACCTTCCTCAACCTTATGTGCTTGGTGTATTGAGAACACAATCAATATTTGTCTACTGCCACTTGAGCAATGATTTCTATAGCTGGGTCAGCAAAGCATCAGCAACATTTGGTTGCTTGTTTTCCTGCACTGGAATAGATGTCACCTTTTCAGTCGTAATTGGTCAGCTTGTAATTTAGTTGTGGCGCCAATGCTGCATTAGTCTAATCTAGCAGTGGCCCAGATGGGTTCCTGTTCACTTTGAGGAGTGTTGAATACTTGTGATATTTAACCTATCAGTTTTATCAACATCTCTGATACCACAGAGTTTATGAAGATTATATTCTTTCTAAACTGCTAGTTGATAACATCAAAAGTTATTTGCTCAAATTTTATCCAGTTTTTTTAAGATTATATCCATTATGTGTGGGACATCACCCTGTATGGGAAATTTACATGTGGGGTAATGTCCGGATACCGTCCACGGCAGCCATGTTATTTGACTCATTTTTTGTATGTGCTGATGTACAAGGTTTACACTAGGAATTTTCTGACATGGGCCCTTTATGTGAGGTACACTCAACTTGCCCATACAGCACAATTTTTGGCATTTTGTCAAATTTAGGGGCTAAAAGCACAAATCCCCACCCTTGAATTATCCCTGGATGTATGATAATCATACATGCAGTACATATTTGATGTCGCCTGTTTGTGGGTTACCTGCACAATGCTGATAGCTGTGACTTAGCTGACTGTAAAACAGTGCAGTGTCTAATTTATTAGCAATAGTAGCGATAATGAGGGCTTTCCTCTCAATGGTCCCCCGTATTTGCTGATACAGGAAACTGCCCCTTGGCTTTCAATTATAGCCACATGTTTGATGCAGCATTTTTTTCGTTTGT